ACCTTAATTTACGTAAAAAAAAANAAAAAAAAAAAAAAAAAAAAGAAAAAGAAAAAAAGAAAAAAAATGAAATATCCGGATCTGAAAAAAGTAGGATATTTTCAGACTACTATAGGGATGACGATGAATTTTTTAAGTGCAGCTAGTGGCCAGCGATTTAGCGATAAACCGTCGATGGAACAGGAAGCCATAAGCCCGTGACAGTAAGCCCTGATGTAAACTGGTGGTTGCGGAAGAAGCTAGACGAATCTTGTTAAGAGTATTTCCAGATATTTCACGATTTAACCGAGAAGATAGATTAGAAAAGTTCGAGGTTTCTCAAGACTATTCTTTTCGTTCATTTTAATGACGAATGTCAATCTCGACATTGATTATTTAAATAATTAAATAGAATAGAAATAGAAAAGTATAACTGAAATATCCATCAAAAGATCGGAATTAATGCAAAAATTTAATTTTCAGAAAGTTTTTCATCTTCTTTGTTTTTTCGTTGTTTAATCCACTTTATTTTTTAATTCTTTTGTTGCAGAGTACATAAAATTTTACCTTTGTAATATTACGTTTGATTTTATACGTTTCTCTCGTTATATCATAAAAATAGAAATTCTTTCTAAAAAAATAAGTTGGATATATAAACTTTAGTATTATAAACTTGTATAAAAGTATTATAAACTTTTATGCAATTAATTGTTGTACTTTATAAAGCAAATTCTTTACAATAATAAACTTATTATGATATTATACTATGTGTAATATAAATTTATATAAATTTACTCAAATTTTAAAAATAGTTATTAAGAAAAATAATATAAGTTGCATTTATAATGGAATTGCGAATATCTTGTATATACTATATATACAAATTCGCAAAAAAATTACAATAAATCCAACAATTTTTAAAAAGTTTTCGTCTTGAAAATCATTACTTCATCAATATTTCAGGATTATATTAAATAAGTATACCATCTAAATGGAAATTAGCCATCCTGTATAAACTTATTGATAGAATATTGATGACAAATTCATACGTCGAATACATCATGGCACCAAATTATCACCAATACTCTTCACAAAAACCATCTCAGAAATTACTATCGTCTCTCAAAATCGCTCTCATTCAACTTCAACAGAATTAAGAGGCTAATATCGCCAAAACGGTAAAGCAATCATCCTCGCAAAACAACAACTGGATCCCAACCGAACTACTTAATCTTCACCCCTTCTGCTTATCCAAATTATCCGAAACGACACGAAACAATGCCCGGGGCGGCACGTGCCAAGTTTGCCGGCATCATCCCGCCTCGTTATCCGGCAAAAAGGCAAATACCAAAGCGCAAGAAACGCCTATTCTTGGCACGATCGCGTAACGGTTTCGCTAAGTAAGTGACACGCGATAAGCCATGAATCGGTTTAAACCTTAAGACTCCCCCCTTATCTCTTGATACCATTAACAAGACCTATCCCTCTTAATCCAGTTTCGTATCGTCCAGTTTGACGCGTCGATTGGACACACGTGAAACCGATTACTGTCACGGATTCTTTGTATGACAATGTGCGCGACAATTGATGATTCCACACCCTCAACCTTGAGGGGGCTGGCATACTCACCGACGATGCGATAGATCGAGCAGAAGACGATGGTCATGACGACGAACCACGTGTTCCAATCGTGGTGGTTGTTCACGGTCGCCACCCCGAGGAACATAAATATGATGGTTTCCGAGCTGCTCGACAGCATTTTCATCGTGTATTTGACCGTGGTGTGCGACTTGTGCGATATATTCGCCTCCACGTAATTCTTCATGGTGATGCCGCAGAAGGTGATCCTGTGACAAAGGAGAGGTCACGGTTAATCGATGGGGGGAGAGGTGGACGACACAAAGGGGACGAATATGGCGCGAGGGTGGTATTCGAGGCTACAGAGTTCGTGTATCGATCGTAGTCAGTACGTTTCGTAAACGTCGCTGAAATTAATTCGAACGTACGATCCGAGGGTTTACGAAATCGGTGGCTAGAGGCGTCTATTCGATTTACGATATGGATGCGACTGTTGTACACATATGTACTGGAAATTTGTGCGTACATTTGTCTGACTGGAGACTACTATTTGGATCCAGGTTTAGATCCATCCATGATTCACTTGTTAATGTGTGGCGAGAGGAAATTTGATAGGGATTTAATCTCTTGAGGGAAATTGGCGTATATAGTGTCTAGTCAGTCGTGAAAATCTTCGTACGTCTTACATTATCTTGCAAGGAAATTTACGTAAGTCTGATTTAATTAAATTTTGTGTGTAAAATTTGATTGTGGATGTAATGAATTAAATTTAGAGTAATTTTTGTTATTAAACGATGGAATCAACTCTCATCTTCGTTCTTGTGGTTCGAGTTAATATGAATTAATGAAAATATGGACATTAAATAGATATAATTTGCGAACTCTTATGAGTAAGATTAGGATTATTATTGTTAAATGTTGTTATTAGAGAAAGATGAAATAAAGAATAGAATAAAATTTAGTTTTTAGTTTTTTAAAATTTACATCGAGCTCTCTACTTTCGTTAATATATAAAATACAATCTTTTAAAATAGAGTTCATTAATTTATTTCATAAGAACGTATATAATATACACGTAAATCTTAATAAAGATATGAAAATGTAGTCAAATTTTGAACAGTTTCTAAAATAACTAAGTACGAACTCCAAGTAGAGTAGGGATAAAATGTGAAACGTGACTTGAGTTAAACATCTTCATCATAACAAAAATATCTTACATTCATATCTTTTAATATTTATTCTAATTTTCGATCCTTCTAGAAATAATAAGAGATAATTGAATTCTTTTCGATTTTGTATCGTATATTTCTGAATTAATATTCTCAAAAATTTCTGATGAAATTAATTCCAAAATTTCCACACACTTCTAAAGATATTAATATTTGAAAATCATTCATTTGATTCAGTCTGAATTTGCGAAATTATTCGAGCATATTATTAAATTTATATTATTAAAATTTTATTTAGGATTATATTTCATTTTTTGGATGTTAGTCTCATTTCTTCATCAATCGAATTTTCTTCAATTTTTTTTTTTCAAGAATTTGTCTATTCTTTATTTGACAATGTATCTTCTTAAAAAAAAAATTTACTTTTATATTTATTTTCCAAATTTTCCTTAATCTCGTTATAGAACAGTAACTCAATTTTTCGCATTATAAAAGTATCGCGTTTTACTGCGTTCTACTTTACTTTTAAGAGCAACTGTAAACACATGTATAAAGTATAAATTAAAAGTACAATATCTTCCATTTAACGATCGATATCTCTTCGTTGTCCAAATATTGCACATATCTTAAGCTCTTAAAACAAATAAATCATCCGTTCCGCTATAATTACATCACACTCATCTTCCCTCTCTTTATTTAAAATCCTTTTGTTCGTCAATCGAACACATGGCACTGTTTAATCGTATAAAAAAAAAAATCACGATAGCCGAGCAAGAAGCAGCGATTACGGGTTAAGCATATTTGAACAGTTATTACACAGGGCGTACTTTGCATCGGGATCGATCATCGCTACCAACTTCCCCAGGAAACGTGTAAATAATAGACTTAACGAGAATCGTGCTGCTATCGTAAGGCTTTCGAACATTTATAACGACGATCTGTTACTTCCTTCCTCTCTTGCTCCTTCTTTTTTTTCTTCTTTTTAATAAAGACTCAGCCTTGGGCGAGTTATCGAGTGAATCGACGATCACGAAAAGAGTCGGGCTTCCCTTTAACCTTTTTCTTCTTTCCACGACACGGTTCAAGGATTTGATAATGAAAAAAAAGAAAAAAAAAAGAAAAAAGAAAAAAGAAGAAGAAGAAAGAAAAAGGAAAAGGAAAAAAATATGAGGAAAAAACTTTGAAGTTTCGTTTCGTCGTTTAAAGAACGGTTTCAGGGGATTGATTAAAAGCGTATCGATGAATCGTCTCGCCCTTGGATGACGAGGTAATATGGCGAGGTTTCATCGAATATGCTATATATATGTAACGATTCGCGTGAGAGCTGGGAGGTCCTTTTTGGAATTTATTGCCGGCCGAGAGCGTGTCGAGAGAAGTGAATTGGCACACTCGTGTTGCACATTTCTAGGTCGCGGTGGCCACGTGCAGGGCATTTTCGGTTTATCGATGTAAACAAGGGAAATTTGCATATGTTACAGAGTTGTTTCGTTGATGAACTGGTTTTCTGGAGTTTTGTGTTTTATTACCTGTACGAGATTGACCGCACAATTAACTTTCACTGGTATAAGTTTACCAGTTATTGCTTCGAGATATATTATTATTTTTGTTTGTTATTTAAATCACATGGGAATATTGAGAAAGTTTCTATTTTAATATAAAAATAACTACTTATTAGATTCTTTCTTAATTGTATTTAATAGTTATTACGAAAGTATACTTGTTTGTTGTTCGTGTAGTTTTCTCTAAATAATTTGCACCAAAGTGTCATCAAAGTTTCCAAACAATACTAATTACAAGCTTTTATTATAAAAAATATTTAAATATGAAGTTGGAAATTTGTAAATTGAATGAGAGAAATTCTTCGAAAAAATTTATAATCATTATTTTTAAAAATTAAAATATGGAAATGGAAATAATTCAATCTAAAAATCTTCTCAATTAACTGAAATAAAATTTCAGTTTTATAAATATTTCCTTATTCCTTTAAACAATCTGTTTTGATTTCCAACCCTCTTTTGTAATATTCAAATATATCGTGATTTTCTCTTTGCTGCTTTCCCTACTTTTGAATTAATTAACAAGAGAATCATCCCCTTGTAAAATAAGAATTTTAAAATAATGTACATGTATAATTTAGAGTCTTAATTTAATTTTCTCGAGTCTAAAACTTTCGAAATTCAAAACTATCATTTTTCTCTCTTCTTTTTCTTTTTTCTAAGAAACATTATTTAAAAAATTTTAATCTCTAGAATTCAAAGAGATTTTCTAATCAACCAACTATTAATAACAATCATCCTTTTGATAGAATTAAAAATTTCCATTTGAATTTCGAAAGTTTCCAATTAGAAAAACAATGATTCCCACTTTGCAAAACTCCTTTAAAACTCACAAGTTTCACACATTAGAAACCACACCTTAAAAACCCATTCAAAGTCACAATATACCAATTATCGAATGATCATTGAACTTAGAGAATATCTAAAGCATTCACCAGAAGAGGATCAATTTACTCACGCCAGTATGCTGGACATATGAAAGATCTCGGCGTTCAGGTAGGCCAGGTAGGCCATGACGAATATGAAGATGGGCTCGATCACGCGAACCTGATGGGTGAACCTTGTAACGAAACCGGTACCAAAGCCCCATATCACCCCTATTATCGTGCCACCGATCGCCACCACGAAGAACGAAGCCAATCCCGAAAGCACGTCCGTATAAAGTATTTCCGCCGGCCCTATCTCGTTGTAAGCCTCGAACATATGGTACAGCACCTGTGTGTCATTAAACAACCGTAACTTATTAAGCTGTTCCAATGAGATTAAGAGATTTCGCGAAGTTAATTAGAAATTCTTCTGACTGCAATGGGATCGTGGAGATGTGTCTCACGGACAAGGAAATCGTACAATTTGATGTAATATAATAATCGTTATTGGCAGATCGAAGATTATCTAATTTGGACTGAGATTTGAATTCGTTCTAATAATAATTTCAACTTTATTATTCGTCGAATAATTTGATTAGAACTCATGCTCTGTATCATTTTCTGTATATATTTAAGCGTATAATTATTTATTCCAATATGGAGGGATAAATGAGGCTCTTTCGGATTCTATGAATCCATTTATTTTGGGTTAATTTTAAGCGAACTGTAAATATAAATGATCGAACGACAGAATGATTCAATCGAAATTAATCGAGCGTTAAGAGAAACATCGTTTAGGATGTTAATATTTTTAACAAGTATTTTTGTTCATTTCTTTAATTACGATATTTTTAAAAAAATATTTCTTCTATCTTTCTTTTTTTCCAATCTCTTTTTTGAATAATCACTGAACTATATTTAAAAAAAGTCTAGAGTTTCCTAGAACGCATTAAGAGGGCTTAAATCGCGCATAAGCAATACTTACCACGGTGACAGCGTCGTTCAATAAGCTCTCCCCAAAGACAACGATGTACAAGATTTCGTTCACGTGGATTTCTTCGAAGACAGCTAACACGGCGACAGGATCAACTGCGCTGATCAACGCGGAGAACAGGAACATTTGCAGAAGTGGTGTTTCGAATCCGAAAAGACCACTCTTACCCAACACCCACAACGAAGCACCTATGAACAATTTAAAACAATACTTATGAGTAAGAAAAAAAGAAAGAAAAATATAAAAATTTTTATTTAATCAACATTTACCCGTTCAATATTTAGCTTAATTGAAATTAAATGCGATTAAATGCGATTGAAATACAGTTATTGAAAATTTAGAAACTGTTCATTAAAAGATCAAAACGCAAGTTGTTGGATTTTCAATAATTTGGTTAAATATTTCATTCGTAAGCTCGTTTAACCGCTTTAAATTATGAATGTTAAGTACTTTATAGATTATTCCATTAATTTTCGATAAAATTGGATTTGAGCCAATAACAGATGTTCACATGTTTGCGTTTTAAATATATTTATTTTTTTTTTTTGAAAAAAATTGTTTAATGGACATATTATTCCCTCTTTTTAAACGGGATTAAAATTGTAGAGAACACGATAATTCCGAACAGGAAGAGATATTCGTTCAACGTATTATAATGCACAAAGAATAATTGTATCGTATAATTGTTGTCGAACAACAAGTTGATACAAAAAGTTATTTCAAACTTTTAACAGTTCATTCGTTAATTGTTTAAAAGTTTATTACGTTTAACAATGTTTCTCATTATAATAGAGTTTATAATATTGAATACTTTTTTTTAATACCATTATTATACACATTATACACATTCATTATTCGAAGTTACTGGGTTATCTCTATTTGAAACGACTTCGATCAAATAACTTGATTTGTACGAATTCAAACTTGAATTAAAACTTGTATTTAGTTCACTTCAATTCGCTAATCTATTGAATTCGAAGAACTTGATTAATCTAAACGAAACTTTATTATTAACAAGACTACCAATATCCATCAAACTTAAAATCGAAATTTTTATTTTAATTATTTATCGTTTGACCGAGTCTTTTTTCTTCTTCTTTAATTTATATTTTAATTTTCAGCATGACTAGAAATATTATATATGTTGTACATTTACGTACATACTTCGTATACTGTCGTGTTATATTATCGTTATATCTTCATATTATTTTTGACATGTAAGAGGGCGTGCAATCTACTATCTTTTCTAAAAGTAGCGATCATTAATGACAAAAACTAAAACACAATTTACTAGCAAAATGTTACGAGACGATCACAAAAATAGAATAAAATTTTATTCTTATAAACTAGTTCTTTTTTGATTATTAAAATAGTTACAAAGATATGTTTCTATTTCGATTCTCATATCAGTTATATTTATACTTTTTCGATTTGATTCAGTGGTTTATTTCCAATTTTCTCCTTGATTGGTTTCTTCTTGTCTATCGGTAACAGAAAATGAACAATGAATTCTGTAACGATGAATACGATATGATATATAGTATGATTATTCTAATTTATAATAAAGTATATTCTCATTTCTATTCTTAATCCACCAATGATTTTAATTCCTCGATAATTAAAACCATCTATTTTATCTTTGACGAAGTTTCAGCGAACGAATGATGAAATAAATTCCATAATGATTTATATTTTAATTTATAATAAAACGTATTAAACGTGAGTGTTACTTCTTTTTTTATATTAAATATTTCCACATCATATTCTTAACCTATCAATCATCCTTCTTCTATTCCACTCATGAATCACATCTGGCTCTATATAATATAACAAATTCTAAACAAGAAGTCCACGTATCGATTTCATTAAATCGATGAATCAATAAATCGACAGAATAAAAATCGTCACTATAAAATATTTCGATGATTAATTCACCGATAATAATAATATCGTAAGAGATCTTACCAACTACGTGGAGTCTTTAATTATCGCGGACATCATCGTCCTCTCGTGTAAGAGAAATGTTTCGTAACGATGAAGCGCCGTTTCGTGAACGACACGTGCCACAAACAGAAATTGCGTGGGCAGTTCGACGTCCGTTTTCACTCTCGATACAGATCTAGATGTGGGACTCTTTGTATATTGGGTGATTACGAAACACCGACCGACTAAACTTTGCGAAGATATTGACGTACGAAAGTGATCGACTTAAGTAACTTCAAATATAGAAAATAATCGGATATTGAGTCGAACCACGAGTATCGTGTGGATTGCGAATTTTTCTATATAATCTATTACGTTAGATATGATTTATGATGGAAAGGTGGTTGAATTTAAATAAAAAATTAAGATTTACGTTTAATTACGTTGAATTTTCAATATAAATTTGATTTTTTAAATTTATAAATTCTTATTAAGAAGTCTTCTTTTTATTTTTATTGTGAAAATCATGATAGATGAATATATGTTTAATATTATACAACATATGTAAAATATTAAATGAAGTGATGATTGCATTTTTTTATTAATTGTGATTTAACTCCTTGATATTAATATGTTTAAACTTTGAAATAACAAATGATTAGCCAAATATAGCCTAAAATTTCCTATGCAATTTTCCTGAAGGGGATTCAAGAAGATTGTAAATTAAAAAAAAATGAGTATAAACAAATATGTGTATTCGTGTAAGATGCGTACACGCATAATTGATTGAAAGTGAGAATTATTTTATCGAGTTTTTATTTTATCCTGAAGAGACAGCTAACAAATAATAATAATAATAATAATAATAATAATAATACGAAAAAATATATTTTATTTGCGAAATAAATGGAATTAAATTTTAAAATATTCTATCGAATTTGATACTGGAAAGATTTATCGAATTGCATGATTTAATTGCCTCGAAACTACTTTTATAATATCAAATGCATTTTAAATAAATTTTTGATCTGGATAAAAAGAGCGTAGATATAGAAGAATTTGTTACTACTGATTTCCCTATTTTGTTAAAATTCCCGTAAATCATTCAGATGACGTGAAAATACACGATGCTGTTAGTGAAGTGTTGACAGACTTTACCATTTAATCAAGAACGAATGTTTTATTCCATTACGAGAACTAATTAGCTCTGTAAAGTGCACTCGCGCGATTCTATCGCATCAAAAGCTGCTTATGTTCGAGAAAGAAGTGTTCCTGGACCAGCATCAATAATCTCACGAGCAATTTTCAGAATCACTCTTCATCATGCATTTCTACGAAAGTAACACAAAGGAAAGAAAAGCTAAATAAAGTAAAAGTTGCAAAAGTATCCAAAAGGGAGATATTATTATGAAGCTAAATACAAAGTAAAGAAAATGAGAAAATTTACATTTTCAACGAGACTTCTTTTAAAAAAAAAGTCTAACTACTACTTTTTAAAAGAGCAATTTATCTCGATTTATATTCGAAAAGAACATTCGCATCCATGATCTTTTTAACTTATCCACTCGTTTTTTTCAAAGAGGAGATTAAAAAATAAAAAAAAAAAAAAGATCAATCCAACTAAAATTATTATTCCTAGAAGGAAGAAAAATTAAAAAAAAAGAGAGGATTTATTCTTGCATTCGTTACCTGATAATTAACATTGAATCATTGATGAACCAATTCAGGTGAGGTTACTCAATTTTAGAATAGATTATTTTAATTTTCAAATATAAAAGATGAACGAGAATGAAAGAAATTATGGAGCAAAAATAAAATTTATATTTCTAATTTTCTATCAAAAATAATTCCTCCTCTTATGATCATAAATTATTAAAATAAAACACATTCCATTTCTCGTCAATATTGAAATAAAATCATGCATACACATTCAAGGTGTGTACAATCCATTTTTACCAACCTATCGACAACGTGTTAAATATAGTCCCAACGACGGCGAACAGAAGTATCGTTCCCAGATGGTCGAAGAACAGTCGGTTCGGCATGAAGTATCCAGCATCCAGAATAATGGGAGGCAGCATGTAGAGGAAGAACGTGTCGGGGGTGAGAGGCGACACGTGAACACTGCTCGCCTGGAACAGTAGGACACCAACCACGACGCCGACAACGATCAGCAAACAGGATTCCGGAAAGATCTTGCTGAGCTTCGGCGTCATGTGGAAGCCTGTAAACGCATACTATCGTGATTTAACACTCGTTCAGCGGTCGTATGTAAAATGGAAAGAAAGGAAAAAACGGGAAACCCTTTTGGTAGTTGGGCATAGTGGTAGGATGCAAACAATGGTTCTGTTATTAACCCTCGTTTGGAGAACAGCGAGGCTCGAGCTACTTTTTAAACCGCCTGTTGCGGGGAAATTGGTTCCTTGTCTCTGGTTTTTGGTGCACCCCTTTTTCGATGGTTTGGGAAAGTGGAAATTTCGTTGGATGGTGCTGGGTGTGGTTGCAAATATTTGTTATATTGCTGTATTGCATCTGTTATTATTTATACCGTGGAGAGTTAAATTTGAAATTTGATTTCAAATCGATCGAAGTTTCAACGTATAAAATAATTAGAGATATTAATTTAATAGAAATAAGTGAGCATAGATGTGTTATTGTGTTATGAAAATATGAATATTCAATCGTGTTATGGCTACCGCGAATCTATGCGAATGTTTATATACATTATATATCAAATTTATTCTCTTGATTTATGAGGTATATGTATTATTATTATTCATTGTATGCAGAACTAATTTGAAATTTAATTTCATTCGATTAAAGTTTTATTGAAATTATATTTCTCACATATTGAAAATGTTAATTCAATACGAATATTTCTACATAGATCCATTGTTGATTGCGAAAATATGAAAATTCATTCAAGTTATGAATAGCTTTGAAAAGTAAAGCTTGTTGAAGTATAAACTAGTATAAACTAGTTGGATGAAATTTTAAATATAGCCAGTAAAAGATTAAGAAATGCTTGTATTAAACTAGTCAATTTCAAAAGTCAAATTAATCAATTTCTTTTTTTAAGGATATATGATTTATAGGATTAAGTGATTAATTTATAAATGGCTCAAATTTTGAAGATCGTATAAGTCTATTTTAAATTTACCTGTATTAATAATTATTAAACTGATAAATATTCAATGACAAAAAATTTTTAATCAAATCCATGCTATTTTGAAAAAATGAATATATTTATAATATATATAAATGAGTTTTCTTTGCAATTGGGATATTGAATATTTTTATGATTTAATCAATTTATGACGTAATTAGTATTTGCAACGTTCGTTATTTGTATTATTCCATTATTCTATTATTTGTTTAAAATTTTTATAAAAAAAACTAAAATGTATTTACATCACGAATTCGTTTGATATATGATTCAAAAAAAAATTTGCATTGGAAAATTAAATTGTTAATCAATAACTTGCATAATTGTAGTACAAAGTTTTCGTTTATTAAAAATATTCGATTTTTCGTTATTTTTGTTGTTGTGTTTGGTTTGTTTCGTTTATTTAAATTTTCATATCAAGACCACACGAAAAAAAGCACGATATATTTTATTGATTTTATTTTTGTCGATTTTCATTTTCGTATCCCATTTTAATTAAAAAAATTTAATACTTTAACCTTTTTAAAATTGAACTCTTTTCCATCTGTGAAAAGATGATCGTTTTCATTATTTATTAACTTTAAAAATGCATTATTTCTGAATCTCATTTCACTGAATTCATGTTAATAATAAAAAAATAAATTGTTTGACTAATAAATATTTGTAGTATATAATATTGCGTATACGCAACATCAAGCGTGAAAAGGTTAATATGACCTAGTTAGAAATGGGAACAACCTTTTAGGGTCAAAGATACAAGTCTTCAATAAATTAAGTCTAAACTTTTGAAGAAGATATATAATTAAAAACCATATAATTATTGCTATAACAAAGAATATATCTATATAATGTTAAAAATCAAATAAATACATGACAAATATTATTCTGATGATGAAATTGATTGATAGACTCTTCAATTTTTCATTTTTTATAAAAATTAAAGAAATGTGATACATATTTTTCTACTATAATATTTATTTTTGAATAACATTTTAAATTAAGCAATGAAAAAATGATATTTAAATGCATTTTTAAAGTGCATACATGATATCTTGCAGACATTATTGTCAAATACAAGGTAGAAATATTGGCTTTTATTCTTGCAAAATAAATAGAATCTATAAAAAGCCAGGTGATATGAGTATGGTAGTTCACGTGCACGTTGCAAACACGATCGATGCTATTGAGAAACAAGTAGAACCTCTGTTATTTGAATCTCCAGTTTGTGGATGTTCTATTAAGGTCTCTGAACAGTGTATTATCGATACTGTTGTATTATTCTCTCCTATTTCGCAATGGGAACGTTTTACACTGATTCGAAATATAGTAGAATGTAACATAATGTACCTCTATTTATAGAGTTTAATATGAATCTAATATCCAATAGTCATTTATGTAACCAGTGGTAACATTTAAGGAATTAATGTTTAATAAGTGGACAAACCATGAGACCTATTTAATAATAGGTTAAAATTATTCCAAATAATAGAAATGGATAAGTACTTTCTATAAATTATTTGTCGAAAAGAGAAAAATAAAAAAATATTTAAATAATTTATAGGATTTATTCGGATTAAATTTATTTGCATTCGTTTGAATTTTTCAAACAATAGAAAACAAGCTACGATTTTATCATTATTTTATAAATATACGAATAAACATATAGAGAAATGTATATTCGAACAAATCGGATTAAAATTCGGTCGTACATTTCCATTTCGATAATTTTCAATATTTTCTGCAATTTTGTTTCATGTTTTTATAGAAAATTATCTACTATCAACTATATATCAATGTTTCGAAAATTATAGAGAATCAAGTTTATTTCAAGCAAACAATGAAATCTATCTTCTATCTTTTAACTATTCTCTTTCATAAAATATTTATTTAAATATCAATTAATTTAGAAATTTATTTTTCAAATATATCTATTATCTTTCATAAATTTCAATATTATAGAATAAAAAAAGATCTATATCGTTGATGGAAAACAATAATGAAAGCTAAATCGTAAATCAAATATTATCTTTTATCTTCCGTTTAATAAAATTTCAATATTGTCATAAATAAAAGAGAAGAAAATCCACGTTGTTCCAAGCAAACGATCTCATTTCTTTTAATTACTAGCTTTCACAAAACATCAATCTCAATTATTTATCACTTTTTAATTATACCGTATTCACGAGTCTCAATATTATCGCAAGGAATAAAAGAAAATCCATATCAGGCAATAATGAAACCTCAATTGTAAATTAAATATTATTCTATCTTCCATCCAACAAATCTCAATATTGCCACAAGGAATGAAAAAGAAGCTAGTGCAACCAAACAGCAATAATTTTTCTATCCTTCGAGTATCATCTCTTAGAATATATTTACCAAATCTCCATATTATATAAAAAAAATAAAACGTCAAATATTATTCGCAAATCAAATTCAACTCTTTCGAACGATCTCTCGATCCAAAGTTAAAATCCATAAAAGATCATCGATCCTCTCACGCTATCAACTATCCAACAAGATCAACAAACAACCATCAGAGCCTCTGAACCAGAACCAGAAGTTCCAAGTTCAAGATTCCATACCTATTTTCGCGATGCTGGCAAAGAAGATCCATATTCCAATGACAAACGGTGTCTCCACACGATGAAACTCCACGGACATGATCTTGTACTCCGGCTTGTGTTTCTCGACCTTCTCGACAGCATGAGACGATAGAAGTTCGATCGAGTTCGCCCCTTTTTCTTGTCCAGAGGAGAGACTTCGAAAAGAGACATCATCCGGGAGGGAGCCATCGATAGGGCCCATTGGTCCAAAGCTTTTGCCTGGATACGGTTCCCTGAGATCCCTGGGGAACTCGTGGTCGTCGACGATAGGTCCATGCATCGCATAATCGTTGATGGGTATCCGCCTGTCCGGTTGCAGATGATCGGGCACAGATTCGTAAAATTTGACCAAGCCTGTCTGCCCGCCTGTTGGCCAACCAGCGACGAGTAGGATGAGCACAAACGCGATCATCGTCGAGGTGACAGCACGTGTAGCCATGACGACGTGACACGCCGACTGTGGTGCTGATCGCGGGGACCGCGCTGCTCGTTCGCGCTCGTCCACCGATGCTGAGTCACCCTCAGTACCATCAGAAGAGACCTCCAACCACGAGGAACCTACACCTTGAAAGGCTCCCGCTGTTCAAAGAGTCAGCACCCTCCTGCACTCGAGCTCACCCTTCAACTCCCCTTGGCGCACGACTCGCGACACGATCGTTCGCAAGAGAGACTTCTACGAGTTATTCAACGTCGAAAATTATTATTATTATTATTATAATTTGACTAATATTGATCGTTTAAGAGGTTGAGTTTGTATTGTATCACACGTGGAAGACGATCGTTTCACTAACCGACAATACGGTTTGTCTATTTTACACTTTTTGTTCAATCAAGAGTTCGAGGTTAAGACGAGCCAATGTTTATTGCTTGTACGGCAGGCATTTTACGGCTCTTGGACTAGCCGGTCTGTTTTTTGTCACTGATTTAATCATAACAAGAGTGGAGACGGAGAAAATACACACACGATTCGCGATAGGAACTACGAGTTTTTGTTTGAACAGTATATATACAGTTTCGAGATTCTTCCTCTTCTGAAATCGAGATTATAACGTTGGATTTGGATTTGTTAAGCCCGGAATATTTCGCGTATATATCGATTCCACGAGACACAGCTGGGATCCTGGTGGCGAGAAGCAGCTAAGTTTCCATCCTTGTCTCGATCGTGTCGGCCCGACTGTTTCTATATTTGTATCCTCGCTGACCTTTTACGACAGCCACGAGTTCTCTAGCCAATTTTCCAGTCGTGATGTCAACGAACCCTTCGATACGCTTGGTGGGAGCAAGAGAGAGTGGGAGGTGACCTGGACGACGGGCAAAATCGAAATCCATATTAGTTCCAGAGAGAAAAAAAGGGTGAGAGATATCCACGATTGGCGTATTTGTTTTGCTACTCACCCACGTTCGACGCTGTTTCTCTCTCGCGAGCGTGCTCTCTACGCGCCGTTTATTGGCCGGTTATCGACGACAGAGAGTCTCCTCGTCGTCGGTACGCAGCTGCAACACAGACCAACAGGGATCAGTCTTTCGTACAACTTTTATCTTACATTGTAATAACTCAACCAACTCGCGTTTACGTTCCTCTGGATGGCCTCGCGATTACGATCGATCACCCGCCCAGATTCGACTAAACTCTTCCCTCTTAAACGCTCCTCCAACGATTTTTATATACACCTTTGCTCAACCACAACCGATCCACTCTAAATTTCTCATTCAGGCCAACCCAGTTGAACGAAAAACACTCTCCAACAAGACATGGAACTACACGAACGTGGTATTCACGGATCAGAAAGGGAGGCAGCGGGTCAATCGCTGGTCCAGACCTTCTCCTTCTTCACGCTGGCACCTGACGATACACCACCCTGCTGTCCCCTTCAGGATTGTTCGGCGAGGACGCTGGTTGACACAGGGCGGATACGACGCAGCGGCGGCCGGCCAGATACATCGTGGTGTCGTTAAAATGGAAGGTTTCCTCGTTCCCAGGTTTCAGCGGTGCGCTTCGATCGACCGTCACGGCAGCACTGCGCGAGCAGTGATCGTGGGGCCGCGCGCCGGCTCTCGAGAGAGCTTACGTCCACGTCGTGCACACGATCAACACCATTGCGACGAATGAGACACCAGCGGCTAAGGGCAGCCACGAACGTTGCCAAAAACGTGCGTGTAGCTGGCGACGAGGCCACCCTCGACGTCGCTACTGATACCCGATGGACGTGTGTGCACCCCTTCCTTCTCTAACTCTCGTCGCCTCGGCATAGCCCCTTCTCGCTCCCTCCATCGCCTCTCGAACTCCTTCTCTCGCTCCCTCCACCGTCTTCTATCGCCTTCTCTCTCTCTCTCTCTCTCTCCTTTGCCTTTCGTCGAAGCGCCTCCAGCCAGCTGATCGTTGCGGAACCCGCGCAGGCGTCGCGGCGCTTCGATATAGAGACGTCGCTGCTGGGTGTGCTTTGCACGCCGCCTCGACGCGAAACGTTTTGTTGTCCGCTCTCGAGATCCGGCCACGCACCAATGTTGCGTGCGAAAAGGGGGATTACTGGAATTCTGCGTGACACGGAATGATCGATAATCAGGGATGGATGAAGGGTGTATGGATAAAGGGATAGACGGAACGGGATATTGAATTGCAGCGGCGGGTTTGCAGCTTTGTTTGCAGATGGCGGGAATTGGAGAAGCGGATGGAGGGATTGGAGATCGTGCTTTGCTTTGCTTCCGCGCGGATTTGTTCTCGACGACGTTAAAATGTGGTGTCTGATCTCTGAATTCATGAGATTTGAAACTGGATATTGCACGAGAGTGATAATTTTGATTTTAGAGAGGTTTTACGTTTCTTACGTTTTTTTTTTTTTTTNTTTTTTTCTATGATTGGAATCACGCGCGGCCAAGATTAACGATTATTGATCCGTGTTTGAGTTTGTGTGCAGTGTTCGATCTGTACCTCATTTTGGTATTAATTCAAAATTAATGCCGCAGATATCAATCTCCGCATAGATAGGAATATTGATCGAAGAGTTAAGTGGTTTAAAATTGTTGATCGTGCGACGAAATACACTTTACACTTTCGACTGTTTTTCATCCCTTTAATTATAACAAATTGAGCAAATTTTATTTGGAATACAGATAACAATTTCGAATAACGAATTATTTCAATTATTTTATTCAGTCTCTTTTTTTTTTAGTAATAAGAAAAATAAATTTATATTTAAATTTCACTCGAGTAAAATAATCTTATAATATGAAGAATAATAAAATCAGAAACTATATAAAAGAAAAATATGATTATTTAATTAATCATCATTAAAGTATCTTTAATTTAAACAAGTATCTAAAATTAACAAAATTTTACATTATCTCTGATATTAATTTTAGGCGATTCAAGCGAGAAATGCTGTATTTATCGATGCAATTGGATTACAAGCTGTTATGGGATGTTTCCACGTGTAGTTGTATATAGATAGATATAGGTCAGCTATGTAAACCAACATCACGAAATCCGATCGAAATCCGATCTTTGGAGGAGAGAACGTACATGTAGATTTCCACGCTTTTGTTTTTATTCCTGCGATTTTTTTTTTTTTTGCGACATGCTTTGCAGGGGAAATTCTCTCAAGAATATTTAATGAAATGCATCGCGTTTCGCCCCCAATGAGAATCGGGCACGAAACAGTAAGTCTATAGGGAATTGCACGATTCAAAGGGTCACTTTAATGTTCCTTTCGATTACATTAAGCAGAGAACAGTCTTTGTTTCTTCATGTTTCGCGTTGCGCATCTTCATTTTTTAGTATTGCTGCAGATTAAATTTCAAAGTAGGTCACTGGGATAAATTTATATTTAATTTTATCTCGTGGCAAGTAGATATTTTTAGACGTTTAAATATAAAAAAAATATTTAATGAACGAAATTAAAATATCAATGTACGATATATCATACGAATGATACGATGAATATATTAATAATAATTTCATCAATTGCGCCAAATATTCAATTAAAAATTTTTATCTAGGATATTTAATTAATTGATATGTTAATAATACATCTGTACATATTTCGAAATATTACGTAGAATTAAATTTTCAATAAAGGAAAACACGAAATTGATCTTTATTTTTTCGTATTGAAATATTATTTAGAATTAAAAAATATAACTCCATGCCAAAATTAAAATTTTTTAGAATAACAATTCTAAAATATTTTTAATATTGAATCTATCATGCTCCTATATTAAAATATCATTATTCAACGAAGAAAAAAGTTTCATATCGTTTATTTACCCTAAATTAATCTAAATAAATTATTATAGATATTTACAATAAGATGAAGTATCATTTCAAAGTTAAATTAAAACCAAAAATTGAACAATTTCAATTACAAGTGATTTATAATACAAAATAATACATTATTAAAAAGCAAAATTTAATATTACCAATTATCATTTATATAATTTAACGTCATTCAATATGTTGCCAAATTCGATATTATTAAATCCTATACGCCAATAAAAGAAAATGATACGTTTGATCGAACGATGTACTTCCTCTCTATTTTCTAAAAAAAAATTCAATACTTCCAAAATTACTTTAGTAAGTGCACACAACACTCAAATCGACCGTCTACGTACACAGCGAGGATCCAAGTGAGAGCGACCTTAAACCAGCCGCGTCACGTCGCCGGATCTTGAAGACACCTTTAACCTTGACCTTGTCGCTGTTGCGCTAGCAAAATGCTCGGCTGCCTCGACATTCAGCTCGCTACTTGCCAACCTTTCCGATCATACCCGCGACCCAGTGCTCGTTCTAGCTTACTTATATACACGGTTTCCACGTGTGTCGGTCCGACAGAGACAGAGAAAGAGGATGCACGATCAGTTCGGGGTGTATTCCATTCGACAAAACTGTGGGTATCGAGCTTTTTTCCCTACCTCTTGTTACAAATGGAAAATCGTAAACTATACCGTTCCCTTTTACGGTCGATAACAACGCGGTAATTAAACGGACCCGGCTATTCGTAACAACGTTTCGTCCGGTTGAAACGAAAATGAAAATTGGTTGCTACGTTACCGTGTATAGCTTCTTTCGTTGGAAAAATGTAGGAACGAACGACCGTAATTACCGGATGTAAGCTGCCATTTCAATTATTCCTCCGCGTATCGAGGAATTCGCGGTAATCTCCTCCCTTCCTCTCCCCTTTTTCCCCCCCTCCTTTTTTTCCAACTTCGACTTTTCTTTGTTTTTTTCTTCTTGGATTTCGAACGATTGAAAAGCGGGATAATCGCGTTTCCCTTATGAACGTATCGAGGGAAAGTAATATATAATTTCTTTATAGTTGATTTCTCGCTTTGTTTCGCGTTTCGGTTAACCGGATAAAATACTTGGCGAATGAATGGTTAAACGAATATTGTCCGCTCGGTATGTCAAGGGGATCGTGATATAACGATTTTTCGTTACATATATCCCTTTCCTGTTTTTCGAAAGGGATGGACAAGTTTGCGTCGCGGGTGTAGAACGTGCGGTAATAAATTTGATATTAAATCTCGGTATTCGAATTATTTCTGCAGCTATTAATTCTCATTTCACTTCTCGTGGCACTCGAAATCTCGAAACGATGAAAACGGGGACACACGTGTGTCCGTATACCGTTGAAACCGACGTCAACGTTTTGATTAATTACACTCCGTATTTTACGCGAAATCTTAAAAATACCAACGTCTTGAACTTCGTTCGAACTAATCATATCTGTTTTAACAAGCTGTTGCAATTGCGGTGGTTACGAGAGAAACGATTCTTATCTAGTTTTTTTTTTCCGAGAGAAGAGGAAATTAATCTGGAATCTTCAATTTTCGTTTGGTAGATTTAAATTTTCTTTAACGAAATATTTAATTGCAATTGTTATTAATCTGAATATAATGCAGTCTAATCATATAAGGAATAATGGATCTTATAATTAAACGAGAGATTAGATAAGGATTATTTTAATTATGAAAACTTCAAATATTAAAATTTTTCTCTCTTCTTCTTCTTCTTCTTATTATTATTATTTAAAAAAGAATTATATTATATTAAAAAATTACAGTTAATTAGAGAGAATTTAGAGATAATCAAGAAAGAATCCTTGAATCACATTAAGGAACTATAACTATATATTGGAGGAGAATCGCTTTGATTGTAAACCTCTTGATTGAAAGATCAGAATTCATTTTATTACCATTACCATCTCGATCGCATTTGTAAATATCATTATGCATCTAAATAGAACTGTATTATTCTTGTATTCGATTCGTGTAAAATTAAATTCTCGTAAATTTCATTGGCCGAGTTTACAGGATGATTCAATAATCCAGAATCATATAGTCGTTATATAAATATACACGTGAAACGTACAATGTTACAAATCGATACAATACATTCCAAAGCTATTTTTCTTCAGTTTATCGTATCCATTAGGTTGTCAAGTTCATATCGTATTTATTTTGAATTTTTAATAAAAACTTTGCTCCACTTTTCTCCACGTTATTTATTACATTTGAGACATAATTAATCATCGATTATTTAAAGTAGAAAATAAAATGTAATAAATCATTCTTTTCTTCACCTCGTGAACAGTCAAGGATTCAAAGTTCCATTACCATTAAGACACGATATACCATTTTTCCTCCGTAAATAAGTTAAATACATAAGAGAACGAAAAATATTACATTTTATCGTTTTTTTCTCTTTAAAGAAAAAAAAAAGAATTACTATTTTTGAACAAAATTGTTATTAATTATCTAGCAATCCATTGTTACTTATGATTGCCACATGATTGCAATTTATTTATTCCGTCCTTGTAGAATTTTCCACTTTCTATTTTGTTAAAAGTTCTTTCAATCTGGCATCATTTTGCATTGAAATTTTTCTTAACAAAAAGATTTTTTGATAAATCATTTTTAATTAACTGTCATATATTTAATTACAATGTATATCTATTATAATTTTTATCATGTAATTTCTCTATTTTATGGAATGGAAGAGCTTCAAAGGTGATTTACTCAATTCGCTATTCTATCATACAGGCTCTTTTTTCAGAAAGCTTCACGAGTTAATTATTTCATCGCTGTAAAATTTTTCATTCCTGTTATTAAAATATTCTTTCAATGTTTCTTCATATCGAAATAATTTAATTTTCTGTATTTTGAAATTTTTTTTCTGAAAAGTAATTTCATAAAGATCGGTATAATTTATTTGAAGAGACTTATCTTCATTACAAATTTTTTTCT